ACGTTTAGCAAAACAAAAGAAGAAAATTTATCAATTAGAAGTTTGAATTTTTTACAAAATGCACCATCGAATTCCCTTCGTTTTAGCTCTTCGTTTATCTGTGCGGCGTTCATTTTTTTGCAAGTGGCACTAGACTATGGAACAATCAAGACAGTACTACGAGGGGCCTGATTCCCCTTTGTAAATTCAGAAATCTAATATTCAAGAAATGCAAAGATCGGAATATTATCAGAAGAAAGTTTTAAAGAATTTTCAATTGTATTTTTTCTTTGCATTTTTCTATTTGAATTTGTAATTGTAGTTGTTTGGTAGATTTTAAGGACTACAATGTGAACTACTGGTTTTTGTCAGTAATTGTGTTATCCAATAAAGTCGTTATTCATTCACTCCATTCATTCGTTCGTTCGTTCGTTCGTTCGTTCGTTCTTTCATTTATTTATTTATTTATTCAGCTAAAAACCCTGGAGACCATGTTGATTTACGCGCGCCAGTTTTTCAAAATCAGACTAGTTGTCAACACGCTTTATCTCTGAAACGAAGTCCGTGACCCCCAATTTTTCTTTTTTTTTTTCTTTTTTTCTTTTTCATTTCTGAAACAAGTACTTCATTATCTGTCCGTAGTACAAGTTTGAAGAAAATATATCGAGTAGACATTTTCGCGCGAACGTCCTTAAGCAAGTTTAAAGTCAATCGGCAGCTTTCGTTTTGTTGCAACAAGGGCAATTCTATATGCGTGTACTAAACATTTTGAACTATGTCAACCTCTTCCTTTTGAAACGGCATTGTATTTAGTGCATTCACAGTGGACAATTTTAAAACCTACTTTTGGTTTGTAGGTGCCCGGTAAATCAAGTAAAGAGAGACCGAGATCGAGTAGTGAAAGTGAGATCCGAGATCAAGTAGTGTCCCAGGATTCCGTGGGTGCGTGCATGCATACACTGTATAATTGTACGCGTACTTTACGAAGGCAGTAACCAAAAAGAGAAATGAAAACCATCGGGTAATGGAAACCCATCCCAGAATATTAAAAGGTTTCTTAATATAGTTCCTCAAGGAAAAATGTAGTTTAAAAGGCAATTACACGTTTGAGGAATATTGTGAAGCAATGAAAAGGACGGTCAAAGTCAAATCTTGCTTACTATGTTATGAATATTATTGTATTTCAGTCCATCTGGGCCTAACGTATGTGTAACATAGAGGGCGGTATTCCACTTTTTTGTTAGAGTTGTTAAATGGTTTGTTTTCGCTTGGTTTGAATGAGAAGACGAATAACAGAGTCGGGATCAAACTTTTCCTGCATATTTTAGCTGGTAAAAACTAGCATTCATTAAATCCTGAGGTCGTCCCGGCTGGAACATAAGGCCACAAGCGAAATGTGACGGAAATTCTCTGCTTCAGTTCCATCTGTCCCTTACACGCCTTTAGGACACCTAAATTCTTTGTCGTGTTTGTGACAGGAAAGATTACCCTTTATCCTTATTAATTCTCAGTACCCTTGGAGATTATTGCTCGGGGACCGTCAGCACGCAAAGCATACCAGAAAGCACTTGAGGATGGAAAAATCCAAGTAAGGAGGATCCCAGTCATGCTCGTAGGACAAGACAGGTCAGGAAAAACCAGCTTGAAAAAGTCTCTGAAAGGGGAGCGTTTTGATCCACAAGAAGGGAGTACTGTTGGAATAGAGGTGGACCCCTTGCATTTTCAGGTTACAACAGAAATGTGGAGGTCAGGAGAGAATAATCAAGGGGAAAACCCTTGTCATGCCATTTCTTATGAACATCAGACAGCAAAGTTTATTCGTGACAATTTAAAGGAAGAGTTACGCTCACAGGAGCCAACTTCTTTGCTTGGCGCAGATAAACCCGCAGGAAACGGAACGCCAGAAAAGAAGAATAGTGAAGAAGAGGAACAGCAGTTCCTTGAGAATCCAGTTCCAGAAGTTCCTGATAAAATAGCCAAATTGACCAAACGATTGCTCGATCTTGAGGTAAAGAAGGAAGTAGAAGAGATCTTTTCAATTCTGTGGGACTTTGGCGGACAATCAGTGTATTATGCGACTCATCCCATATTTCTCACTCCAAGAGCAATCTACTTATTGATCTACGACATGAGCCGAGATCCCAATGAGGTGAAAAGTTCTATTGTTTCCAGACAGGGGAATGATTTCAGTGTACAGAGTCCTCTAAACAATCTGGAGTTCTGGTTGTCATCTATCTCTCTTTTGGCTGTTGAGAACAATGACATTGAAAACCTGTCAACTAAACTTCCTACAGTGTTCTTGGTTTGTACTCATGCCGACAAACCTTGTAATGGTGGTGATGCTAAAGTGCTAGCCAAACAGTTGCTGGATTCTCTTCAGAATAAACCGTTTAGTAATCATTTGTACGCCGACGTCTTTGCTGTGGATAACACCAAGTCGGGCTCTGAACGTGAGTGCGAAGAGGTCGTGCGTCTGAGAACGGAAGTTTGCGCTGTTGCAGAGCAGCTGCTCCAGAGGAAGGAAGAAATCCCAATAAAGTGGCTGAAGTATGAACAGACCCTTCAAGTCATGCGTGAAGAGGGCTGCAAGTACCTTTTGCTTGATAAAGCGAAACAGATTGCTTGTGAAGTCTGCGATATCAGAGATGACGAGTTTGTCACGTTAATGAACTTCTTACACGACCAAAGAATTCTGATTCATTTTGGTGAAACTCAAGCCTTAAACAAAATGGTTGTTTTGGATCCCCAGTGGTTGGTTGATGTTTTCAAGAAGATAATTGCTGCAAAAACCCATATTCCTGAAGGGGGAAAGCTCGAAACTCTCTGGTCTGAGTTTGAGAGGACAGGAGTTCTTCATAAAAGGGTTATACAACACGCGTGGACCCCTTTTTTCAACCCTGAAGACACCTTTGAAAGCCTTCTCAAGATCATGGAAAAGTTTAGCTTGATCTGTCCTTGGCCTGCAACGAGTTCCGATGAGCAGTACCTAGTGCCATCTATGCTCAAGTCGTACCCAACTGAAGGCGTCCTCGATTTGCTGTCATCAGCAAGTCTTCCTTCTCTGTTTCTCAGATTTGATTCTGGCCACGTTCCCCAAGGATTTTTCCCGAGGATGCTGTTACAGTTTATCCAGTGGTGCCATGAAGAGTGGTCCAGCCAAAGACAGCCACAGATGTTCAACAACTTTGCAAGATTTTTCACAAGTCTTCGCGATGGGCAATCTGTGATCCTTCTTTGTCATTCCACTTCGATTGAGATCGCAGTTCACAGAATGGCGCCATCTGGCAACTCTATGAATGCGCATGTGGATCCGGATCATAAAGCATCCGACGTTTCAGTATGCCGAAAAGTGCGAAGGCAACTGGGACTGATGCTTGAGTGCATGCGGAATGAGTTCCACTGGTTGAGGAATGTCAGATATAAGATGTATGTGAGGTGCCCAGTCTGTTCTAATAAGGGGGTAGTACGATACTGTTGCAATCATGACATGGAAGACTGTAAACGAGAACATTGCCTCCACTTTTTGTCAGAGGAAGAGTTGCGTAGTTGTCAGCATCCGTTTGTGTGCCTGAATTCGGCAGTGGCTAAAGATGTCAGAGTTGATATTAACAGCTTCCAGCCTTGGTTTGAATTCCTAGATAAACAGGTAACGTTGACTTTTAATGTATTGCGGGTTGGGAAAGAAACATTGTTCCTTCGACCAATCTGAACATTAAATGAACATTCCGTTGCGGCCGATAAGCGATTACAGTGACACAGATACAGGTTTACGTGGTTTAATGCAGACGTGATCGGTAAACTCTTTCGTTTCTTCGCATGGAAAGCGTTTGTGCAGCTATTGCAGCTCATATTCTCTCTGTTATCTTTAAGTGATACAAGCTAGTTCGCCATGCCCAACTGGGATTTATCTTAACAACCTATTCCTGAAATGGAAGAAATTTTGTTCAGTTATTACACAAGCAAGTTGTCTGTTTTCTGACGTAAACATTTTTGCATCACTAGGACCAAGACAACAGTCACGGGTGCAAGGATTTGCTTCTCCCTTTTTTCAAAGGTTAGTTTCTTACATGTGTCGTGAAAATGTTTATTCAGCTGTTCATCAATCAAAGCTGGCCACGTCGTGAAACAAACGATACTGCCCTTAAACCTTTATTTTATTCTAACAGTTTCTCTTACTTTGCTTTAACAACCTCTATAATCGATCAGCTTTTAGAAGTTGTAATTTTAGTTTAACTGTGAATACAGTGTATGCCTTTCATTTCTAAGGCATTTAATTTGTAATTCTTCGCAATTGGTTCTCGCATGATATAATATTCCAGTGAGAGCGGTACTTACGCGACAGAAAGATGACTAATCTTAATGAGTAGAATTATAATTGGTGTACTGATGTGAAGGCTGCAATCTGACTGACTGTGGCATCACACACTATCAGCCATTAGCTTGCAAATTGTGGTCAACAAAATGGCCACGTTTTCTCTTTTCTCCTAAGTTTCCGGAGGAAGATTTAGAATTAAGACAAGAAGAAGTTAAAATTGTTGAATGAACTGATGAGCCCACAAACATTTTCGCTAAGGCGTGAAGTTTAAAACTACTCTAAATATAAAGGGTGAGAATTTTACAATGGCTAGCCTTACATACGTATGTTTCGTCCCTGCAAAGGGACTCATCAGAGGCCTTTCAGCTAACTTGTCAAACATCGCCTTTGAAGCCATTCAACAACTTGAAAAAGTATAAATGTAAAGGAATAAGTGGAAATTGTTATTTCAAAGAAAATTTGTGAGAATTCTACTAATTAGACAATTACATTATTCCCTCTCGATTTCTATGAGATAATATTTGATGAGACCAAACCGTGATTTCAGCCGTCGCTCTTATCAACTGTCACCTGAATTAAAGAAATCTCAAGCTTATAATCTAATTGTTAAATTCTAAAGGTTACCATCATATACCCTTCTAATGCCACAAATATCACACATTTTAGGTCAGGAGGAGTCGGTCCTTTCCCTACCAGATGAAGTTCTTCAAAGCGTCCAGACATTGGACACAGCAGGTGTTGTCGATGAGTTTAAAAGAAGCCTGGAAATAGACGAGGCATCCCTTCAGGAGCCGGACGATGATACCAAGCGATGGGTGCGCTGTCTCTGTAAAACGGCACCCCATGACAAGAGAGTTGACTT